CTGCAATTTCTGTGTGATTCCCGTTAATTCCCGCACGTTCTTGGATGTTGCCCATCCCTATATTTATTGTACCTATATTAATATTTTAATTATTATATGAAAAAACTTTCAACAGTTCTTAGAACACTAATATTGATGACTACTGGTATAGTACGAGTACGATCATTATTGAAGTGAAAACTTCTTTAGGCACGTTTAGCACTTTTTGTGGGTACTGAATTGAACTGATGTGAAACGCTCGGCTATGTAACGCTCATTTGGGTGAAGTCGGCTCGAGTCGACTATTTTTATACGTGGTTATTCAGTGATTATTAGTATTATTTGATTTAAGTATATCTCTGTCGCGTTTCGACTTGGGTCCCCCGTTTTACCACCAAAAATTCTGTTTCAAGACCCTCTAATAATAGTCCCCCCATGGTCGGGGTACTTTTTACCCCCCCCCCCTAAAATTTTGTTTAGCCAAGCATAACTTAGCCGGGGATCGTCGTAGCTGTATTTTGTAAACGGCTATGGGTTGTGGGCGACCAGGTGCATAACATATCAAAAATTAATTTATCAATATAGAGAGCAAAAAAAATTGTATTTTGTATTATTAATTTCGCCTTGTTGAAGTTTTCACTTCTGTCGTGTGGTCTTAAGCACACATACTTTTTTTTAATAAGTCTTAACTTTTTTAAAAATATTTTTACATAATTTGAAGTGATGGCAAAAACTTATTACCTATCTAATGAATGACAACTTAGATTTTTAATATCATATTCTGAAACAAAATATTTATCGTTCGAACTTTGAACAAATTGCAGTGGTTAATAACTAATAAGTTATAACTTATGAGTATTTAAGGTTAAGTCAAAGTAGAGAGGCTTATAGGTACCCCGACAAATATTGGTCCACTTTTTCGTTCATCTTAATTCACGGTTATCATACAACTAAGAGTATGCGAGCCTGTGATGGCTAAGATATCATGACGTGTTGTTAAAATATATATCCAAAACTTAGTAACAGTCAACGGTAAAAGGTCAATAACTCCGGCTCTGAGTTGAGTTCTAAGTGGAAATTAAGCAAAAGTAAATGAACAATATTATAGGTATAGTCTGATGCTTGTAATAGACATAAATACATAATTATAAACCAGCAGATTTTTATGCTGCATAATATTTGTGTCGGTTTCTGTAACATGACAAGCTTTAGCAGAAATCTATAATTGGTGTTTAAATTTGTTTTTATAAATTATTTAGGGATAAGACGTTATGGTGTAAACAGTAATAATTTTTTTACCCACTAAAATAATATTCACGCGATAACGAAAAAATATGGCAATTACGTTTATCGGTTGTAGTTTGATAAAATCATTATGTTTCGTTGTCACATTGTTACACCATAACATTATCTCCATGCTTATACGTACGTGTGACGTAGAAAAACCAGTAAAACTCTTTTCCTGATTGAAGGACACGTGGCGACCCAGAGGACCGCAACGACAACTGTCGTATTATTTTTTTTTACTGAGAGTGGACCGTGAGGTTTTCCATTTTCACAGCACTACCCGCCGGTGGGTGCCACCCACCCCATGTGCCGAGCCACGTGCCGTACCCGGAATTGTCTTGATTTCAAATCACGCTGAGGAAAACTACAACAATCGTGAATGTTTGTGGGGCGATTTCTCTGCAAGAAAGTGTTCGGGTTCGCGCGACGGATGAAAGAAGCGAACGAAATTAATTTCAAGTTTCAAAAACAAATAATGGCATAGCTTTATTATTATTATTATTACTATTGTTTTTTTTTTTTTAATGCAAATAAAAAAATAAATAACGTTCAAACAAACCTTGCAGTCCATTCGATCGGGATGAGTTTATTTTTTCTTATTTTCCAAACAAATGACGGTAAATCCTTTAATCGCTCACTCCGAGCTATGTTTCTTATTCTGTCGAGGTCTGCAGCACGGAAAAACAACAAGTTTTTAACATTTCCCGAACAAATGTCTGACGCGTCTGTGTGGGTGTGTGTGTGTATGTGTATGTGTGTGAATGCGTACGTACGAAATTCCACTATATAAATCTTGGATTATGTTTTTAAATTGCATTACTGGTAACCACCACTACCACTACTACCACCCTCGCACTGGAAGGCTAATTTTTATTTCTTAAACCTCTCGGAATTAAAAATACATAGAGAGTAGGGAATGAGTAAAAAAGAAAAAAAAAGGACTAGTGAAAAAAGAATTTAATTAAATCGGTGGCTCTCAATACTTAGCTGCAGCCCTTTTGGATTTGTAAACGACCCTCTTTTGTTTGTTGCAAATTTTTATTTTTTAACATTCATTTTTAACAGAATCAATGTGAATGGGTGATAGGATACAACGGAGGAGTATAATAAGCAAAAGGTTTTTATTAAATAATTGAACCAACTATTGTTAAAATACATTCTATGTATTTGGAAATACATATATAATATGACTTTAAAATAAATTAATAATAGTAAGATTATTTTATTATTCTAAACTAGTAGAACAAAAAAAAAAAATGATTATAATAATAAAATAAAATACAAATAAATAAATAAAATACAAAAAAAATCAATAATAATAATAACGCTTAATTTTTACCAACAAAACCCTAAATAACTATTCAAAACACTTTATCGTATAATGTGATAATAATAATATTATATTGTATAATACAGTTTAATAATATTGTACATGATCGCTTTTAAAATAGTATAAATTAATAAAACAAACAAATAAACAAACAAACAAAGTATACCGTACATAGAACATAAATCTTTGGTTTCGATGTTGTAGATAACTTAACACTGCCTATTGACAATTTCGGGCGATTATTTATCCCAAATCCTTAAACATTTAGCGCCGACACTATAATATAGTGTCAAGCGTATACTGCGAAGGCGATTCGTAATAAAAATTAAAAATTATAATATAATACAAACAACAAAAAAAAAAAAAATTAATAAATAATAATATCATAAAAAAATTTAACGTCAACAAATTAAAAAAAACCAACAAAAACCATAAGCGAGAGATCATATATTGGTCCGATCTACAGATAATATAATATAATATTGTTTCTGTTGTTTCTGAAGAATCGGTGTTAAAAAAAAAAAATTTAAATCACCACATTCTGGGTATAAATGTATAATAATGTAATTAGTAATATGTCTATGACATTGCTTAATATTACATATCATCATAATAATTATCATAACTGTACACGTCGCAGACCTAACATTAATATCAACAAAACGGATTGGGCTTTGTTTCAAAACTACAATCATTATTTTTTATTGTCGTCTGATCTAGTGATTTCGCTGTCCCAGACTTGCCCGGAAGGTATAGAGGAATGTTGTCCAAGAACAAACAAATGCAACTTGTCGATAGGTTAGTTAGGACCTAGCACAGAGCTGCAGTCGACGTGAAATATTATTATTATTCAAACCGTAGACCGCGATCTCAGAAACGTAATATTAGGCATATCAAATTTGTAGGAACGCCCAGGAACATTTTTTTTAGTTTAACTATTTAATCCGCTATAATATTGTACAATGCGCGACCGGCGAAATTCATCACATCAGTGTTTAATGGCTAGCGAGATAAATATTATTTTTTCTTTCTGCCATTATATTTTCATTATTACGTTCAAAAGCTTTTAAATTCAAATACAAATATGAATATTATTTAACAGCTATTATATCGATAAGACTACGCGACATTATTATTATTATTTTTTATTATTATGATTATAATACACCTATCGATATAGGTATCTAATTATTAATTATAAACGCGATAAAGTTTCGACTTGCACTAATCGTGCACTCGTTGGAGGCAAAACGGTCAAAAACTCCACCACCTTTTCCGTCATCCCCGAGTGACCTCAAATAAATAATTGCAATGCCACGGCCGACCAGAGCAGGGACGAAAAGACGCATCCCGACATCTGGTGCAAAAAAAAGGCCTTTGACCCGTCGATTGAAAATTGAAATTCTGTTCCGGGACCTCACCGATTTTTCGATTATCCAACTCGGGTCGAACGTATTTTTCGAAAAATAATAATATAGATTATAGTCCGTTAGTTTTGGTTAACGTGACACCACGGTGGAGGTGTGGTGCGACAATAACACCACAACTGGATCGTAATTATTTTTATACGCGTCACCGAACGAGGTGGAATATTATTAAAATACTATATTATATTATTATGTGGGCGATCTTTTATTGCGATTATATTACTATTTTTATAATTATTAAATATTATTACCTACTTTATTATTATGACGAGTGTGCAATATTTACAGCGGGAATGCGTCGATTAACGGTCACGTTTCGAACCCGGCGATACCCAAAGGTAAGAGCTGAGAACGCGTATACCCAAGTATAATATTATTATATAATATTGTGCAAACTTGTGCTCTTCTCCTCGAAACACGCAGTTTCACGTGAACGGCTCGGAAAACATTGACGCACCTATTATATTATACTAAATCCTCGGGACTAATTATTATTCGTACTTACGAGTACGAAATATTATTCGGAAGTTAAAATTCTATTTTTCGATATTTATAAGGAGCGCATATAGTACGTGTGTAGGGGATGTTTTTTTATTTGGGGGGGGGGATAATGTTTTTGACTAGCACGACTATATAATAAGGATAAACCGATTGAAAAATAAATAATGAAAACTAATAATGAAAATATTTACTCGTTTTGTTCGGAATTTTTTTTCCATTTTTTTTAAGCACAAAAAATATTAATTTAGTAAAAAATTTTTTTTTTCATCTTTACACGTGATTTAATACTCGAATAATACATAACAATGTAATAGTAGTAGTATTGTACACTCGAGCAGCCGCGCGGTGTACCTATAACAAATAATATTTTTATCGTATAAATATTGTGTATAATATTGTATTTAATACCTAGTATAATATAATATTGTTATTCATCAGTGAAAATTGTTTTTCTAACAACGACTCGTGGAACAGCATCAATCGTGATTGAGGTACGTGGGCATGGAGAATTGATCCTTAGGCGACATGGCGTCGTACAGGGACATCTTTAGTCGCTTGCACTTGGCCCGGCGATTTTTGAACCAGAACTGAACGTTCTTCGACTCGAGCCGAGGGAACTTTTGCCGGTACGGCATCCGGTTCAGCTCGTCCGTGTACTTGGCGATCAGGCTGTGCGACGGATGCGTGTTGTGCTCGAACCACTGTTCGAGCCGCGGCACCTCGCTCACCGGATCGATAAACGTCCGGTTCCGTTTCCGGCGTTCCTCGGCCAGCGCCGACAGATTTAGGCCCGCTGCGGTGGCTGCAGACGACACCTGTCAACACACGCAAACAATAGAAATTCATTCGACGTCCGGTTTGGTGGAGGTGTGCGAGTGTGTGAGTGGAGGTATGAAATAAGATGCATATAACGTATAAGCCAGCAATAGTGTCAGGCGGTGGTCGTTCGGGCGAGTGTAATAATTTTGGACGACCATTTATACTGTTTGGGCGAGTGAAATTATTTTTACCTACGTTAGCAATGCATATATATATATATGACATATATATTATATGTACATTGTACATATATTATATGTATAATGCATATATGTTTGATGCACATGTAACATATTTTGTTAATTTCTGACTATACATTGCTTAATAATAATACCTACCTATATCGACATATTTTTAAAGTTAGAGTCCGTTATTAATTATGTATATTGTATGTGATTTTATTTTATTATCTTATAATTGATTCAATTTAAATTGTACAGTATATTAATTTACCTATAAACTTATTCATATTATTCACCCGCAAACGGTATTTTTGGTGGAATAAACAGAAACTCACACTCAAGTTTTTTAATTTTTAATTTTTAATTTTTAATTTTTGTGTCTGTGTACACGATAAATAGGCTTCGATTTTCAACTTCAGTATCTCGTTCGATGGGAAAGTGAATAATGTTGGTGCATTGGGGAGGTAAAAATTCCCTAAAGTTTTTAAAAGCGACGGGTAAAACAACATAAAATTAAGGAAAAACGGGAATTTTTAAGCAAAATCGGTTTTCCACAAAATCGATTTTGGTTTTAGGTGTAACTCTAAAACAAATTAACGGACATACATGACAATTTCACTGGTTGTTTATATTTGTATTTAAAGTCTTTTTTTCTATGAATGTCAATAAAACTTTATTTGTTGGGTAAAAAAGCTTGACAATTTAATACAAGGCTCCTACTATATTGTTACAATGAAATTTGAAAAATATTAAAAATACTTAGTCACAGTTTTTATTTATAAGCATTCAAAGTTGAAATCTTTACAAAATACCGAAAAATAATGAAAATTAGCAAATTATTTTGAGTTGAGAATTCATAAAAATTTTTCTTTTTAAATTTAAGATTTAAATACAAGATTCCTCATAAGTTTGTCTACCTTTATCAAAAAAAAAAAAAAAAAAATGTCTACAAGCAAATTAAATTAAATTTTTATAAGCGTTTGAAATTCACATTTTTACAATACTGGATATTCACTCGATTTCTCATTTAGCAGTTTTGTTATTTTATTGATATGCAAAAACGAATAACTGTAGATACATGAATATTTTGTTAAATGTTTATATTTTAATTTTCTATACACCATAAAATGTTGAAAATATTTTGACTCTTTTTGGATTGCTTAAGGACATTCTCAGTTTTCAATTTTTATAGTTTTTTTTTCTATAAATAAAATTGTTATTGCTTTGTAAAAAAGAGTGAAAATTTAATGCAAGGCTCCTGATATATTGTTATAAAGTAGAAGGCATTAAGTATTTAGTAATATCATAGGCTGACTGACCGTTTTCGCTCAAAATCATTTTTCTTATACATTGATATTATATCATTAAATTCAAATTTAACATCATCCATTACAGTGACCCACTTGTAACCTACTGTACAGCAAAGCGACATCCACTTACCCAATTTTTAAATTGTTTAGTTGTAATTCTTTAATTATGAAATTTTTTTTAAGAACTCACTAAGTATATACTTTTATTTTTAATTAATCGTAATAAGTATTTCCTTCCACCCTAAAGAAAAATATTTATTATTCCCTTAAAGCACAAACACATGTATTGGTAAATAAAAGATAAAAAAAAAAGGAAAACTTGCCTACAATAAAAGATTTACGTATCTATGATTTTTTTTAAATATAATAAAAACTTAAAATTTATGATTTTGTATTGAAATAATTATATAGTTATTTTCATTATTTTTAAGTAAACTATTTAATTTTTTTGATTACCTATTCTGAGTATTCTCAATTCTCAAGTAAAATCATATATCAAAATAGCTCGTAAATTAAATTTGATAATCAGTTAACAGTTATTATTCTAAAATGTGTTATTCGTAATTTTATTTAAATAACATGATATTTTTGGCAGTAAAAGTAATAACTATTTTATAACTTAAATGTTCATAATAATATTATCATTGGTTTATTGGTTACGGCTGATAAGAATATTATACTTAATAATCTTAAGCATAGTGTTACACATAATGTTAAGCATTGTGATTTTGTGATTTGAATTTGAACTGCGTTAGTATCTTTTCATATTTAATATAATGTTTAATGTAATATTCAGATAGTTTAATATTTATATATTTTTCCAAATTAAGCACATCTTAAACATTATAGTGGTCACTCTAAATCCATTTGAAGAATTATTCTTTTTAACTATGCCATGATTAGAAAAAAATCCGAATAATTGGTTGAAGGATGCTATAGATTTGTTACTGGGAAACTTGCATCAAACCTCGACAAATATTAAAAAAAAAATAATCCTTAATATTATATTTTTAATTACTTGTATGCAGAAAAAAGTGATGTTAGGTATAAACCCAAATGAAAAGGTATTGTTACATAAATATTTATATATTTAAAAAAACCTGAAAGTGGTTAACCAAAACCTTTGTAGTTCATAACCTGTTTTAAAAACAGAAAATATTTATTTTGGTTATTAAGACCAGTGAGCAAAATTGTTTGTATAAAAAGCCAGATTTAAAAACCAAAAACCAAACCAAAAAAATTGTTTTCGATTCCGCTATTATAATGAATGGCTTACATGAGTCTTCACCTCCACAAAATATATTGTTAAATGTACTTATGGCAATATTCGTTTTTTGGTTTTATCAATTTGACTGAACAATTTTAGTATCACCATATTCGTCCATGGACAATGGTCATTAGTCAGTGTGAAACTTTACGCTTCAATTGTATTTATTCATATAGGTAAGTTTTAAAGTTAAGTACAAGACGATATTTTAATACTGTATTGTTTTTATATTGTTATAAAATTACCGATATGCGAATAAGTTAAGATCACCACCAGTAAACAAATAATTTAAATTTAAATATTACTCAAGCTCTAACCAATCATTAAGACATATATCCATACATATTAATATATTATTATATTTGTGTCATATTAACAGGTATAACTTCGTGAGAAAACAATGTTGACGAGAACATTTTTTTTCTCTACATGTCAAAAATGGGAACATTTTAGTATTCTACACCAGTATAGGTACTAGTCCTAACTCCTAATTGTGCAAAGTACTCACACTGCAAGCAGATAATTACATAATAAATCACAATAAATAAGAACTGATATAATTTTAAACAAACTTTCAAGTACTGCGTAAGCAGTAGATATATATGTGTATAAATCTATTTAATTTGTATTTATCAACGAGAGTAGAATAAATCGTGTTATCAGTTTTTGCGATAATCGTTAAAAAATCCTGAGGTGTTTTTTTTTCTGGCAATAATCCGTTTGAATATTTTTAATTTTTATTTGTTCTCGAATAATATTGTTTTGTTTGTGGTGTACTGAAATATACCTTGATTAGGTGTCATTATTATTTTGTCTTTTGTCAAGTATTACATCAAGTGCTTTGATTGCTTTATTTGATAATTTATCTGTTATATAGTACTTAATATTCTGATTGAAATTAGTACCTATTATTTAAAGCGGATTCTCAGAAGATGGTTTAGCGATTAAAATACACTTTTGACTATCTAAAGATTATCCGTAAATAATTACTCTTGGTTCACTATTTGCAATTTACATAATTCAATTATGTGTTTTCTGATTAAACGCTTAAAAACGTATTGCTTGTAATTTGTAAGTACACACGAAATAATGCATGTGGTATACTGTCATGTGTTTTCACAATATGCAGTACTTTTCGTTCTTACCGCGGTTATCTGCTAGATAAAAGTGGTTCTGATTGTTCTGACTAACTCATTGTAAGTATCGAAGCACTCGCATTAGTCATCACCTCATTCCAAATAAGTTAAATATAATATAAATCAGTGTCCAACTTATCCTAACTTAACTCAAGAAATCTATATCAAGGTAATTTTTAAAATGCATATTATGTAGATAGTAATGGGTATTTAGTAGTGTTGTAATTTAGTAATTTAGTAGTTAATGCGTACAGAAGGTAAAATTGACATTAGAGAGGCTTATTTTGTAAAGAAAAATGTAAGCCCCCCCCCTAAAATTCAATCATATGATATCACCTTCGTATTGTAGGGTATCTAACATTAATACAATTTGAAAAATATAAATATTATAGCTATTCGAATACCCGTTGGCTGTTACTCTTCGTCAGACTCAGAACTCTCCAGAGGCCTGCCAGACCACTGAAATTGTTTGTTAACAGTGGTTACCAACCAGTAGTCCAAGCGACCGTTGCAACAAAGGGTCTACAGACAGTATAAAAATATTGAAACCAAAATGTATATTATATTATTATGTTGTGCACTTGTACCTATAATATAGATATGATATAGAAAAAATAAATATAATATTTATCGTCTATTTGAAAAACTAATTTGTTTATTAATGTGTTCATATCTAGGTGTGTAGCTTTGTAAATATTTCAATATTTGTTTTGTTCATTTTATTTTTCACCTAACGTAAACTATTGTGAAATCTATACTTTACTATGCAGGGTTTATGAATTACCAACTTAACAACAAATAACTATTTAGTTTCAAGTATCTAGAAAATCCAATAATTTATGTCGTCCAGCTTAGGTATATACTATATTCTGAAGGGTTTTCTTCGACTAAAGTTAGGTACGAACAAACTATGGTTGGCGGTTTCTGTGTTAAGTAATTACCGATGTTATATAGATACCTACTAAATTGTTTGTATAGTATATCATAAAGGCGGCAATCGTATTTTTTTTTTGTACAATTTTTAACCCTACAGACATTTCAAATTTAAAAAATTTAGATGGAGTGTAACAAAAGTAAATAAATTTAAAAAAAACGGAAAGTGGGTTACGACTCTTATACTTTGCTAATTTACATAACCAAGTGGGAGAGAGAAAGGTAGGTACTTCCAGGTTATCATGACAATCATAATATCGAAAATTAAGTTATAAGATCATCATTATTTTAATAATTTAAAATTGAATGAAACAAAAATGTTAAAAATGAAATAGGTGATCTATCAAATAAATATAAAAAACAAGAATAAATTATAGTTTAAAAATTATACTTCAGAGAAAAAAAAAAATTTTTTAGTGTTGGTGGTTTCCAGTAAATCATAATTACAAATAACAATAATTTCAAATCCTATTTAATATTATCCTATAGAAAACTGTTATAGAACCAAATTAAACGGATTAAATAATTTAACATTACCTTAAGGCTTAAAATTAATGTTAGAATAGTATATTAAACTATATAATAAAATAAAATAAAATATAATAGGCAATAGCATAGCACAGAATACGATTTAATATAATGCAATATAATATTGATGAGGAATAAATTTTGGTACCGTGGTTACCGCGCAAACCCCTATGTTATTTTATTAAGCTGACCTCGAAAAATAACTGTATAGTCGTTATAATTAATTCCAATATATCACGGTATAGTATTATAGTAATGATAATCCTGAAAAGTATTGAACAGCATCGTATAACAATTGTAGTTACGGAGAAAAGCCCTTGGTATCTGGTTCGATAATGGGGGGCTAAATACCGAGTACGTACCTACCTTTTTTTTACGTGGTATCGAGAGCTGGAATAGGAACTACTGTAGCCAATACTTCTCCACCGACCACCGTAGTTTAATTAATAATATATTATTATATTATAGTACCTATGTCTTATATAATATATTATAGTATATTAGTTTAATATATTAACATTATTCTTAAGTTAATATTTTATATTCCTACCTACAATATGCATGGGTTTAATATAATGTAGATAGTTGCCTTTGCAATGGAACTCGGGGCGTCAAGGGGGGTTCACACTACACCGTGTCGTGTAAAATAATCACGGTTACCACAGTTACCAAACGATACCGCATAGTTGAATATATTCAACTTTTGACCGTGTGGTTACATTTATGTGCAGATAAAGCCGGGTTCATACTTAATGTAACCACACGGTCAAAAGTTGAATATATTCAACTATGCGGTATCGTTTGGTAACTGAGGTAACCGTGATTATATTACACGACACGGTGTAGTGTGAACCCGCCTTCATGCGTTTGGGCGAAATACCTTTTTACCCATATAATAAAAGTAATGTGTTTGAGCGAGTTTCTTATAATGTGTTTGAGCGAGTATGATACAATGTAAAAGATAAAATTGCAAGTTTGTAAAAATTAAGACAAAAATAATATATAAAATCTATTGGGAATTTTATGTCAATCTAAATATGGCACATAATTTTAATTTTTAATGACACACACTTATATTTAACTTACATATTATTTTTATTTTAATAATATTTTAACTTGATTTTCGATAGTTTAAATTTTTGTACACACAAAAAAAAACCAATCCACTTTTAATCGTATACCCTTGGAATTCATGAACAACTCAAGTCTGTCAAAATGAGAGAGAAACTGAATTGATAAAATACAGCATCCCAGGGTATTAAACAAGATCGCCCAAACACATTACAATGTTTTAAAATCACTCGCCCAAACGCATTATCCTAAATTGCCCAAACACATTGCATTTTTAAAAAATTCGCCCAAACGCAAATCGCCCGGAACTCCGCCTACCTAAGGTTTATATGAAAAAGAATTAATCCACCGGTGTATAATAATATATTGGTTGCTAGGTAGTGGTTAATCGGGCATGTTTGTTGATTTGTATTATTATCTTTTGTCAATATACATATTATATAATATAGATATACAAGAAGATCTGATAAGTAGTTCCAGAGTTTAGTCTGTATAGTTATAGTCTACGTATTTATATAGGTTAGATATATATAAATTAATGTTTGTGGGTAGATTAGACCTCTGGGAAGAAGATAGGTTAATTTACAAAGGGTTAAATTTGTTTTTTTTTGTATTCATCGGATTTCAGTACGGTTAGGTTGGGATAGGATTTTGTATAAATTGATTATATTAATCCACCGTAGGTGGAATTAAGTAAAAACGACAAACTTGGTATAACTTTGATACTTTAGAGGTAAATCATACACTTACGTACAAACAGCACGGGGTCCTCGAACTACCGCAGGTAGATTGCCTACCTGATATAATCTACTACTGCGAATCAGAATTATAATTCCGGGCAACGGAACAGTTAAGATACATTTTGAACAACATACACCGAATATTAAATAACGAATCGAGCAAAGTTTGAGTCATATAGAGTTGATACATTTAACGGGCAACGAAGTGCACGGGATCAGCTATAGTTATTTATAACTTATATTGGTATGTAATTTTATTTTTATATTACATAATTTTTTGTACAGCTAATAATTATAATACTTGTCTATATGTATGTATAATGGTTAATAACGTAAAATATTATTAAACCTTTTGTTTTTCCCAAAAGTGAAACGGCTGAAAAGCGTCTCACTCCACCATATTTTCAAAACCACCTTCATGGGGCCTACCTTCATACACAATATGCTACTGGGTTCGAGTATAATATTTCTATGATTATGTAGTGAACACCTACTTCAATATTAGTATATTATGGTAATAGTACACTATGATTTACCTGAGGTTGTTGCGATTGTGGCGGCGGCGGAGTGCCGGTCTGTGGCCGGCGGCCCATATTGAAGCCGGGCAAGCATTGGCTCATGTACATGAAGCTGTGGCCGAACATTGAGTTTGGCACCATCGAGAACCCGGGCCGGACCAGGGGCTGGTGCAGATCGGCGGCGCGGTGGAACAGCGGCGGGGGCGGGGGTGGCGGTGTCGCCTGGTGGTGGTGGTGTCCCGTGGCAACTGGGTGGTCGTCCACTGGGCTGGTGGTGCAAGACATCGCTGACTGTTGTTGTTGCGATGATAACCGTTTGCAGCTGTTGCCGATCCCGTCGCGGTCGTCACCACCGCCACCGTCCGACCCTTCATCGTCTATCATGTCCTCGTCGAAATCATCCTCGTCCTCGTAATCGTTATTGTTCAGTCCAGTGGTCACAGTCGTCTTATCCTTATCTGGTGGCTCTTCCTTGATCACCATCACCTTTTTAAAAAATCGAAACAGTTTTTTGGTTTCAGATTCCCCTCGGAACAGTAAATTGTAAAATTTTGTTTTTAGGGTCTATTGCCCATCTGATGGCGATGTATTATTATTATTATTAAGCTAAAAAGTGTTTTATTTTTTTTCAAAAACACTTTTTTGGCACATTCTTGGAGAATATTGGGAAGAAAATAGTATTGTGCTGCATAATTATGATTTATTATTGGATATATTATTGGATGTATTTTAAGATGTAAAAACAGTTTACAATTTTAAAGTACACATAACTCGCTTCAAAATTAAATTATAATAAAAATTCTATGTCATTGTCTAGATAATAATCTTGCCTTTAAATTTTATAAAAGGTAAATTCACTCCAATTTTTAAACTAACGGGAAATAAACGTGTTTTGCTGAGCGTAAAATTTGCTATGTTACTCACTTGTAAGACAGAAAAAACAAATGCAACTGTAACGGCCCCTTAAATAATTAGCTAATTTACATTGGATATTGACTGCATTTCCCAGCCAATGATGTCGTTTCTAAAATGTCTTCTGTGACCATGAGATAATATATTTATAAATATTATTATGTATATAAATAAAAAAATGACTCTTACTAAATTGGTTTAACTACATAGGTATATAGTTGTTCATTGTTAATATTGGTTATAGTGATATTTTATAGTATCTACAATATACCTATAAACGGGTATATTATGTAATTATCTTGGTAACTGTTATGATTTGGTTAATTTATAATATTGTATAGGTATAGCCAGATAGTTAAATCAGACAATCGAAGTTTTTACTCCTCTATTAATTGCAGCTCTCTGACGCTCGCAAACCAAATTGTTTACAACTTGGAATGAATCACCTATATTTAATACACATTACAGCGTTACACGTGTATTATAGTATGTGCTATTCCCATTCCTTTCGTGTTATTAAAACTACGTGCGATTATTTTACGTGTGTAGAATAAATTAATTTACTGTAGGTCACAAATAAACTTTAAACTCGACAACCGGTAATCGCAAAGTTTACCGACAATAATGCCGATAACTTTTAAAATTTTGGAATCGTTTAAGAAATTTGAAATGATTGTGAACTACTTAATAACCTAAATGAACACCTTTCAAACCTGTATGATATTTTAGATGCAATTTAACGATTTTTATTTTTAACAGTATTTACAGATTTAACTTCGGGGAATCGTTGTTTTATAAAAATAAATTATAGTATAACTATCAACTATATTATTAACTATACTCTAATGAAAAATAATATCGTATTGTTTTAATAAACAAATCTAAAATACGAGTTTTCCAAACTTCTATGTTGAAAATGTAAAGAACATAATATGATATATTATGATCGACTGATGACATAAACACTTTCAATATAAACGACATATTTGCGTTTTTACTGATTTAAAAAAAAAGTTATATTAATTATTTATACAAACAAGAATTATTGGTACATTATAACGATACGAGTATAATATTGCAGTACGCGTATATTTATCTTAAGTGGATAATAGTTAAAAACTGTATTATTTAAGAACTTATATTTTTGAAAATATTTTTTCAATTATGTCAACCATTTTGTTAATATATATTTATGGTTATACAATTATTACAATCTAAACTATGAAATATGAAAAACGTCTTTTTTTGCACTACATTTATAATAATAATACCTATTACATAATACCTATAACATATTATAATATTATTTAATATTTTTTTTAATTCACGTATTTAAACTTACCAAATAGTTTATGTTTAACTGTAAGTCTTAACAAAGCGCGGTTGATTGCCAGAGTAAAATAATGATTATAATGAAAATCAAAACTATCACAAATTTAGGTATCAAACAGATAAAATCGATAATGTTCGTGAAAATAAAACACATTTTAAAATACGTTCAACTTCATACAACCAAATGCTGACACATTTAATGAATTAAAATATAATGTGATGTTAAATTATTACAGTGTATTCCATAGTTACCTACTACATGCGTATTGTGTGACTTATTATATCATTGAATAAATTTAATTTTAGAACTTCCTTGAAAATTCTTTTTTTCTATTAAAATATAATACATTATATTAATGTCTATGTCGTTGGTGGAATGATTATTTGGGCGTTTCTTCGACAGCCAGATACAGACTGAGCACAAGCATGTGGTTTTCGGATAATTCCTAGTTAATAAATTATAGTATGATATTTGTAATTTGTATTCAATTTAAGTGAGGAGCAGCGAACGTACTAAATATTTTATTAAGAGACCAATTTCCTTATAGAAATAACGATAAACACCATACACAAAGTAAATTTTTCTGAGTTGTTAACAATAATCAGGTACTGCATAAATATTTTTGTACTGAATTTATTGTGACGTATAGTTTATTGTTAACGTATATTTATTGTGATGTATTTTCTTTTAAATATATTAAGAAAAGACCTCCCTCTCCTGAGGTTTTCTTTTCTTTTTACACGTACTGCAATAGGTAGTCCAGCTATTATTTGAAATAACGCCGTAGCCTCAAATTATATTATCATAAGCGAATATTGTCTCACCTTATGTTCGGGGCTCTGCTGCGAGCTGCGCGATTGCGGTCTTGGAGACTGCAACAGAGTTTCGCCGTTACTAAACCGCCCGTGTGTGGTCAACGATATCGGCTGTTCCGCCGGAGGGCTCATCGGCGGTTTCGTGTCGTCGTCATCGTCGCCGTCGTCCCGGTTGTCATCGAACTCTTCGTCGTCGTCGTCGTCTTCGGCCTCGCTCACCGACCCCTGCCCGCTGTACGACTTGCCCCCGTGCTCGCTGGGACTGCTGCTCTTACAGTAACCGTTCACGTTGCCGTCGTTGGTCGTCGAGTTCATATTGTCTGCGACGCCTGCGACACAATATTACAGACAACGAATATTTTACTATAATATAGAATATAATGATAGGGTATTGTGGTTAAAGGCGTGTTTTCTATGGAAAACGATATCGTTAAATCTCATTATTTCACTCGGATTACGGTCGTTAACAATATTATATACCTAGGTAGGTGCCTACATATTATTGGTAGCTATTGTAATTTTATGTCATCATAGATTGAGATATTACATGGCAAAGTGGCGTAATTACAGACACGCCGGCCACAACCTCCCCCCAATCATATGGTAGGTTAAAAAGTCCATACTTTTTATACTATAGCCAGTGTGGTGTATCGCATATACATTGTGATGAAAAATCAATGCTTGATTTTACCCAGAACAGTTCAAAGTCAAACTTCGAACCTATATATAGTATTATCTACTATACAATTTACGGAAATGTTGAAATTAACATAGTACTTATCTACATACTTATTATGAATTCCAAGAATATTACCTATACCTACAATATAACTAATATTATAAATATGTATACTATACTCGGTCCCACGAGAGAAGTAGACCGGGCGGCGACCGAAACTCGCCTTCCTACAACCGCCGACTGTCACCAAATGGGGAAGCGGTGCCACCGCCGTTAGTCTACATGCACGAAAAGCTCTACTTTTATGGAGGGATGGATTATATCCACGGAATAAGATATAATGGATTGGAAACGACAGGGTCAGCGGGAATCGGAGGACGACCACGAAAATATGTCACTTAGCTGATAAGAACACTGTTCTTGAAGTTTTCAGCGCTACCGGTGGTTTTATTTGGCTACACAATTTGTATCTTAGTCCGTGTTTTATACAGAGGGCGCTGTGAACTCCAGGAACACATAGCGACCCCCTGCACTTTGCCTCTTGTACATACATTCGTGGCCATGATAAGCTGCTCGTTTCCAGTCCATTATATCTTAGTCCTTGATTACATCATATTGTTTAGGACTACATGGTCGTAGATTATGTATTATTTCAAGAGAACTAACATTTGGAATTAGGTATTCGATTGTCTAGTTAGGTTTAAAGTGTGAAATTTAGACTAGATTTTGGAGAAAAATGGCAATGAAAGTGTCTTATTAAGAGGATAATATTGTATATGAGCTATATTTGGATGCGTGTCAGCCATTGTCGGGAGAGAAGTTGAGCTATGAGCAATATTTATTACCTAGACATTTATTTATACAATTTAGAATAGGATAGAAAACAGAAATGTGAGTACGTACAACTAAAATTATTTTTAAATCATTTAGGAGTGTATACAAAGCAATGAGAAAGGTGGGTGTTAAGTGGTCACCGATTTTTGTAGAAAACAAATGATTTGCCCATCCAAAATAAATTTTAATTACAATACTAATATTGTTTAGTATGTAAGTATACTGACCTGAATTTGTGCCACGTACTTCAGCCCGTTTTTGAGCTGCCCTGGCATTTTTAAACCAATATACGACGTTGTTGACGTCTAACGGCTTACGACCTTTTCGCGATTCCAAATTGTTCAATTCACTCACGTAATGGTGTATCTTTAGTTAAAATAATATCAAAAATCAACAATTAACACGAATTACGTAAAAGCTTCATAAAAATAATATTATATAAAATATATAATTTAGTATATGTAGAAGGGCGATTTAAGTGCGAAAGACGTACTTGTTGTCTACTTGGATGAGGATTCTCAGCAAACCAAGCTTGCAATTTCGGGAGTTCGAGTTCTGTATCGAAGCTAGTACGCATACGCGTTTTTTGACCTTGGAACTGATTTTGAGAAGCAGACTTAAACAAAAACATCATATTTATCAATACGTTTCAAGTAATAATACAAATTAGGTACCTACATAATAACATAATAATTTTATTATACTCAGATAACACACAACTACGCGATTTGTCGAGTACGGTAAAATATACAACGCGGATGATAATAATATGTAATAATATAATAAATATCGTGAGAATTAAATCACCTGGAGACTGTGTGTCTTGGGGTCTGATTTAGGAACAATACAATTTGCGGGGTTGTCTTGCATGTTTGACTGCCTTGGCGACGAGCCGTTACGATAGAACATGTCTCTCACTGATTGCGGTAATACTGATGGCTGTATTTTGGGAACGACGTTTGACGATTGCATGATCCACCATTGTTCGAATTTTTTGTACAAATCTTCGGGCAAATCTGGGCAAGCTTGCCCTACCTTCATCATCTGCAATATTATCGCTTCGTCCAGGGGACATCCCGAAGCTGTCAGCTGCGTTTGGCTTTGTACCAACAGCAGTTTCAACAGTTTGTCTTTCAAATCGGAAAATCGGTTTTTCGTTTCCCTGCAAAGCAATCGAGATAATAATACAGCTGGTCATAATTATTGGCAATCGCATAATATTTCATCATAATGGTAGGTAACAACATTCCACTAGGCGGGAAAACTTACCGGAACACGAGTATTCTCAGAGTAGCTAAGGTGGTGAGTTCTCCGAGGACGTCGTTCACTGTCAGCACCGGATCTTCGGCGATTGTGTCCAGGTCTAACGGTAACCAGTTCTTCAGCACTACCAATCCCTTCGACGCCGCTGCCGTGTCTTTGGAATAGCCCAGGCGTACCAATGCGGCTTCCGTCAAATCTCTAAACGCAGTGTTGTTCGGGATGATGACGAATCTGTCCAATTCTACGTGGCCTTTAGGACGATGCAGTGACGGCGAGTGCTTTTGGCTCCACTGATAAACATGGTTGATCGATTCCACTATGCAGTGAACTGGTATAGATTTCGCTGAAAAAAAATAAATGAATTTGAACGTTTTTTAAAGAATAAAACACGATGTAAAAAAACAATCCGAAGTGCTAGTACACTGTTCAGTGTACTATACGCGCCTGTGCATATTATTATATTATGTATATCAAGCGAAGACGTATTTATAATGTTAATATTAATCCAAAGAGTTTAGTTTATAATTCTTCAACTAAGCCATAAGCCAGTTGAATCTATATTCATTCTAATCTGAAAACGGGTTTCAGACACGGTTCTTAGGCCGGAGTTTTAAGGACGGATTAAAGTTTCATTTGAGACGCTTTGGAAACTATTGGTCTGCTTATTGTATTCCATCACTCGAGTCGTAATCTTGGAAACATCATTGAATTTCATAAAATTAATTTTTATTCGATGAAAACAGTACAATTATTTTATTGAGAGTTAATAATATAATTAATTGGTAATATTTCCTGTCTATTGGATAGTATTTATTTTTAATTAAATGTTTTATAACTAGTTATTATTTTTTTTTCAGACTGATTTATTAGAATATATTGATTATTTTTAATAAATCGTTTTTATAAAACATCTACATGTTTATGCAATTTTTTTTCAGATATTTTATTTGAAGTTGATCCATTATTACTAGATACATGGACCATCGGTATTTTGTTTTTTCTGTTCGTAATTTTTCCAAATAGCAATATTATAATAAAATATATAGGTTGTTTTAAAAATTGAATATTCATTTAAATCGAATAAGTACACAGCTGATAGTTAAATTAGAAAAAATTAAAAAGAGTATATTAAAATAGAATGCAATTAATTAAACATCATCGTCGGTATACACCTATACACTATATAATATTATTATGGCGTTGCACTTGCACTTATGATTCAGATACACGCTATTGTATGGAGTACGTCGAGTAGAAAATCGAATGGTGGCCCAATTATAATAAAGTTTGAGTATACACAATGTTACTTAAATATTTATAATACCATAATAGTAATAATATATATACCAATACACCAATATTATAACGTATTATTTTCATCTTCAATAACGCCGTGCCGAGTGCTGCACCGTTAGAAGTATTCAGACAACCGTATAACTGTACAGACAACCACAGAGTTCAAGATTAAAAAAATGTTATAATACCATTAAATATAAAGCAGAAACCATCCAGCGCTTCCTAGAGAGATAGCGTTTCGTCTCGACACATCCGGCGTCTATAATGCACCTACGTCTGCGGAGTGCCTCCCCCGGATTTTCCGCTAAAACGGAGATGACACTTTGTAAAAACTTTTCAAAACCACAAAAGTTGACAGCCCGATAAACAATGCATTGCAGGTGGCGGGTCTCTGTGGCAGTATTATATAGCATAATAATATACCTATCGTACGTGTCTATCTGACTGGTTGGTGCGGTGTTTATTATAATAATAATAATAATAATATGATATTGTACATTACGCGGAGGTGTAAAGCGTTTTCCATTATTAGCCGGCGCGGTTCGCTCTCACCACCGACGACGGCGTCGACGACTACGACAATAATATAATAATAGTAATAATAAGCTCTTATCGGAAGAAACTGCAGAGCGCTGCGCGTTTTTATACGTGCTGTACACAAATAACCGGATCGGCGGCGACGCACGGGCAGCATCTCTCTCTCTCTCCACCCTTTTGTGGTGGTGCAAACGGAAATGAAAAACAGAACCAACCGGGCCCGACGACACGGGAGACACGGAGTGGCACGCGGTTGTCGAGAGGAGAGAGACCGGGGAAAAAAAAATAATAATAATAACGCTATCCAAATGAAAGTGTGTGAGGGTGTGGTGTGAGGGGCACGGAAAAACCTCGTTATCTGTTTTTAAGAAGACATTTTTACCAGATTTAATAATATAATACTGTCGCGTGGCTTTGCCGTGTGAAAAACGTTATCTCTCGAACGCGAAATATTGATTTGTTAAACGAAACGAATGCAGTGGTTCTTTATGGTTGGTAAAAAAAAAAAAAAAACAATAATAAACGAGGTAGCGGCACACCGTGTGTTCGGTTTTCGCCCGTTCGGTGTATATATTATTATATTTTGTTAAATGCCACGAAGATTTGATACCGGAAACTCGCGAATCCGGCGCGTAATGTGGAATATACAAATGTCGTCAGGGGTTGTTGTTGTTGTTGTTGTTGTTGACTGTTGTTATTGTAGTTGGTTTCTCTTTCGAAGGGGATGCCATTCGGTTACAGCGGGTTGTTTTTAGGAAAACACAATCAGCTCTTATTGTTGTTAAAATATTACATATTATATTATTTTTTTTCACAGCATAGATCGATATACTATCTTTAAGTTGGTTAATATAATATTATTATTTTCATCTCTGGAACATGTAACGCACGTGTACCTAAGCTATTTAGTATTACAAGTAAGTATAGGTATATATAACTACAGTAGATTTTATTATGTCGAAAGTTGTCGATATCTCGAATTGTTCGTTTCTTGAATTAAATTGAAATCCCCGCTGAATTACCATTGAATAATACTATAGAACTCGGTAGGTGTCTGAAATTTTTTTTTCTATTTCTCTTGACCCATAACGAGTGTTTATTGTGATTCTTATATTATTGTTTAACAAAAAAATTATTTACATTTTACTCTGAATACTCAATGTTTCACTACCTACGTTTATGTTGTGTAAAAAATAGACATATTGTTATTTATTTAAAACATGGGATTTTTAGGTTACTTTACTTTTTGATTTTAAACACTGCTTGAGATAAGAATAAGGTTTAATACACACAATTTCGATAATTAAGTGGAGTTACTACATGAGGTGGAGCACCGTGACATTTTACTATATTTTTCTGGAATACTAAATCAGAACAATTTTTTTAAACATATTTTATAATAATTTACTATACGCAATGACATTTTCAAAATATTTAGATTAATGTTAAGCTATTATACCGTATACAGCCTACCATATTACTGATAGTAAAATAAATTACTATAATAATAATATACTATTGATTTACTTATTTGTTAGTAATAATAATATATATATAGGCTGATAGACTGTCTCTGCTCAGAATCGTTTTTTATATACAATGATTCATCATTGATTTCAAATTTAACACATCCATATTCCATATAACAGTGACCTACTCGATGACGATATACACTCGATACTTACAAGTGCACAGCAGAACAATTATCTCTTACTTGCCCACTTATTTTGATTTCTACTTAGACATTTTAAAATAGTAAATAATGTAGGTACGTTATCGTTAATAAAGAATCATATTATAATGCGCATGCGCTATAACTTTAATATTATTATTAAAGTGTTAATATAGTATGTAGGTACGTACGTCCTACCTATAATTACTATTAATACCTACTATAAAGAAATTCAAAAATTATGAAGAATTTGAATTACGTCAGCCTAAAATTGTTTAAAATATTTACATTACGAAAACTTGGCAGGTAAAATGTATGTTTTGTATTTCTCAACATGACAACATCTACATAGGTAATAATAATACAATATTAAAGTTGATATTTATTGTGACATTTAAAATAATAATTTGTTTTAATTCGTTACAATGCGCATTCAATTTATTGCAGATTGTCTATATAAATATAACAGAATGTTTGAAAAAATCAATTATATTATTATTATTAATGTGGCTTGGCATGGCGCGGTGGTTGCAATCACAAACCGTGATCTGAGAGTAAGCACCTGCTGGTGCCACTACTTCTCGGATGGGTGACCACCACCTGGGTTCTAAGTGACGAATCCTTGCCACACATACACACACTTGTTCAAAACTAAACAGTAAACGTACCCCCACTTTAGTAACCAGGATTGGCAAAAATCATGACTTTATAGCAAACACCCAACCCGTTTGCATTTTTCATGTCTTATATTATTGACATTCTAATATTTCCCCATTGTTATTGACGTTAGTGGTTTTTATATTTAATGGCATTGTTAAGTTTTTTATTTGTTTTTTATTTTTGAATAATTAATGATCTGTTAAATTTAGATTTATAAGTCATTGGAAGTGGTCGTAAAGCCGGATGGCAATGTATGGAATTTGAATCCATGTTTATATTAATAGTTACATTTTTTTCTAATCAAAGTTTAATTGGAAAATTAAATTAAACCTATAAAGTAAACTTTTCTGAAAAATAAAACAAATTGAAAAAAAAAAATATAGCGAATTACTATTTTGCCAAGAAAAGCAACAATGGTTTTTTCAAGGGTTTTTCTAAATGTTGAGTGTGTTTAACCCAGAAAAGCAGCCCGGGTTTTTTCGGGCTTGTCTTTTCCTGATAGTAGCAGGCTATAATGACCTCAGTTTTCGAGGCATTAAATAAATGAAAACTTATTATTAATCGACGTGGACGAAATCAAATTTTAAATATTTTATAGTTAAATTATGTAACAATCATAATACTGACGAATAATTAATAATTAATTAATTGCAGGGTATATATTTCTATTAAAATAAAGTAAAATAAAACTAAATAAACTAAAGTATGAACTCGATTTAAAAAAAAAAATTGATTTGGACTAGGTTAGAATATTTTTAACACACTTGTGTAAATTTAGTAAGACTAACGAATTAAAGAAACGAGTTTCAAGCAAAATATATAAAACAATGCTTAATATCGTTTAAAAAAAAAATTGACATAGGTAAGTACTCACTATAGTATATACATTCCAAAAAAAATTAATTAAAGATTTAATCTTGCACAAGTACTATGTATATACATATTATATCAATGTTCTAAATCTTCTTATTCAAATTAAGACAAATCGGATAAAAACGTCCTTTTTGTATTGAATTTTTAGGAATAATGGACGTTTGATCACAGATAAGTATAATATATATGCGATCAATGTTATTGGAAATAAATAATAATTGTTATCGATAGTCTTATAGAATAACATAATGTTGGGTAAGCTTAAATCTGAACTGATGTAATTCAGGATTGTATTGAATTGGATT